CAAGCAAGCAAGCGAACATCTATGTTGCTCTGGATAAACAAACTATCGACTCAAACATCTCCGCTATTCACAGAGTAACCATTATAACATTTGCTTATGCATTTGGCCTGCTGTAGGACTGAACGACTCACGCAACAGCTGCGGGACAGCAGGGACGAGCTTTGCGAGAGTGCCCCGTGGCTTGCATGCGTAATCGTCCAAACCGCCATTGCAATTTTTAGGCAGCTCTCTTACTGCATGTAATTGCTAGAAGAGTTCTTCCACATGAAATTATGCAGAACGTGACTGCCTCCAGCTTTTCAGTATTAGCATGCATGCTCGCTTACTGCAGTCCCAAAAGAGTTAATTATTCGCTATTTTTTATTGGGCGGCTGAAAACGATAGGTACACCGTTAATACACGGGTACTCTTTATCGCACTCGCGGTCGGTCCAGATTGCATCTGGATCGACACCGAAACAATGATCGCTGCTACATGGTCCAAAATAATCCTGATCGAGTATTTTGCAGACGTTGGTCAAATCGCTATCAGGGAGTGAAATATCGATGCGCAGATCGCTATCGAGCCTGATCCCCATTTAAAGTGACCGTGTAGCAACAGCTTATTCGCACTGACCCGAATCCGCATCGGACATAGTGGCGCCTAAAGTACCCGTGTTACGATGTTACTTATTGACGCATTTTTTGTCCCACTGGATACATAAGCTATCTGCAAAGGTCGTCTGCAAGATCTTTTCAGTGCTAAACTTTATTATTAAAAAGTCATAAAGCTTAATTTCTGAACACCTCGTATAGTATCACTTGCTGTGGTGTATTTCATTTAAACCGACCAGGAACGGATATTTATAGGTATACATGGAGTACAAATACATAGAAGATGGCCTCTTGACTACATGAATAATGACCGTTCAACGAAATGAATTCTTGGTAAGCCAAACGACAGAATGAAAGAGAGAGACGGAAAAGAAATATACCAGAATTAAATAAAGACAACAAATATAAGAACTAAAATTAAAATTACTTATGGAGGAAAACCTACTACTGAGGCAGCCGCCGCCAAGAGAGCTTGCGAGGCAATCAGCAAAACTAGATAGGGACCTAAGCGAAAAACAAAATGCTCTTCCAAGTTCAATATTTACCTGAGCCAAAGGCTGTCTAGAGGGCCTGTGTGGTGACCGAAGGGCCTGTTCTTTCTTCCCTGACGTGGAAGCATCCCGCATCAGTCTTGTACTGATCCTCAGGACCTGAATAAATTTCTTCGTGTCATCCCAAGGGTTCCTAGTTGACGCCTTAACGTGAGATCCGCACCACAAAAGCCATCGGATTCTCACAATAAAGTCTCTTCCTCCTCACTAAGCAGTGTTGCATGAAAGTGCACTGCGTGAAAAATATCAAGATCTGTAGCTTAGCAGATTAACCAATATTATCGAATCGCGCACCTCCAATAGCCTTACCTTAAGAAAACTGCAAATACGGACACATTGGAGTACTAAGCGCTGATTGAATGATTGATTTATATAAGGGGTTTAACATGTCAAAACCACCCTATGATTAAGACACCGCAGTGGGGGCCTCCGGAAATTACGACCACCTGAGGTTCTTTGACGGCATGCACCCAAATCTGAGCACACGGACCTACAGAATTTTCGCCTCCTTTGAAAATGCAACCACTGCCGCCGCAATTCGATCCCGCGAACAGCGGGTAAACGGCCGAGTGCCTTGGCCAGTACACCACCGCGGCGGGGCAGTAAGAAGTGCGGACTCAAAGCCATTATCTTTATTCTTGGTCCCCGTGAATCACCAGTGCGATCTAATGACAAATGTGTACTAATAATCTCCAGCTAAAAGGAAAGGTATTCACCGAACTCAGACTTTAGATATGTGTCCGTGTTGGAATGCGTGCCTGAGTGTATCCGGCTCTATGCATAGTAATGCATGAGTCTGTAACGGGCTTGTGTATTCAGGGGTGTCTAAGAGTGAGCGTGTGTATCTCTAAGAATTTGTGAGAATCACTCTAAGAGTGAGCGATGGTAAATGATCGTATAAGAACGTATGTGCTCGAAAGATCATCTGTGCCTGTTGTCTACTAAACTTAATAACAAGAAAGCCATAAAATACCTCATCAAACACGAAAATCGACCATCGGCTTCGGCAGCGTCCACTCGAGTGATGCAAAAGCACATCACGTTGTGGTACTGCTGCATGACGTCACCGATCGCCAAATTTGTGACGTCGTTAGATGACGTCATCAGCTGACATCATCGTTAGCTGGGGTGATTGCCGACGTTGTGCAAAACCCTATGATGAAGGAGAAAACTTACAAAGCCTCCATTTCTTGACTTTAGGTGCAGAAAGGTTTGTGTTTAGGAAACATTTATTTACACTATGTACAGAACACAAAGGCTTCATAACATTTCAGTAACAGGGCACATACACTTCGGCACATCTATGTATCACGACCAACATCACTACGTTGCAGTGAAGACATTTGCTCCAATGTCGATGACAATGTTGGCATACATGAACACAAGCACTCAATGCAATATCATGATACAATGGCATAACGATAAAATGGATGCAGTGAAACAGGATTTTGTAGAAAGTTTTTGCAAGAGAAAGGAGGCAGATAAACACAATCGACAACGAATAAAACCATTAAGACAGCTTCGGCCTGTAGTGGCAACAAGCCTGAAGCATGGGTGCAGCTGGGCAACCTTCTTTGTTTTTCTTTGGTATATTCTATCTCTTTCTACCCTCCTTATTTTTTCTCCCGTTTTCTTTGTACCTTTTCGCAACTTTCATTTATTTTTATTTTTATTCCTACTTTTTACGTCTCTCTTTGAACTTCGGACTCGGTTCTTCTTTCAGCTTTTTTATACGTGCTTCCGTGCTTCGAGTTGCGGTTCCCTCTACCTAGTGTTAATATCCGTACGTAATATCATCATCAAGGCGTGTTAATATCTGCATTTATTATCAGCAGCAAGAAGACCTCTCTTTGGCGTGACGTGCTCAATATGCTACAGCTTGCTTTGCCGTTTGTGCTTTTGATTGTGCCAAACGACGATAGTGAACGATACCCGCCCACGACAGCACATGACAGCCAGGACTCCTAAAGTGCTTTGCACTAAAAATGCGTTTACTTTTGAGTGTTCTGAGACGAATGCGTGACAGATCCGGCGAGTTTTTTCTATGTTTTAATAACTGCAATATGCATAGCTCTGGCTCTGATTGTCCAAACTGTGTAACTGTAGCAGAAGCAGCTTTTAGGCTCGGCGGTTTTGCAATACTAAGATGAAAGTCTCCAGTGCCTCTACGGATTCTCTCATTTAAATGCAGGCAGTACAGTAACAAAGCCCACGTCACATTAAAAGACCGAGATAAATATCACCATTTGTGCCCGGCATTCGAACATAGGTAGGCCTGTATTCAATCACACAGTTGCGTTGATGGCCGAAATCACTTTCGGACAGAAGCCTATAAAGTCATTTTGTTAAGAGTCGCGTTAACACGTCACTCTTACGCGTTGTGACTTCCGACACTTGACTCTTATTCTATTAATATGACTTCTTGGAGTCCGCTTAATGGATATTGCAATGTTGCGTGGCAAAAACATAGCATCGCACCTCGTGTGAAATTATAGAAATTGCGTAACAAAGCGGCCCACTCATCATAAATGGCTGAGCTAAAAAGAAACAATTGCAAAACGTGAGCAATAGCATTAACAACGAGTGCTGCTACTAGTGTGGCCGCTCAAACATGATGAAGATGAAGAAAGTAAGGATGATTTTAAACTACAAACTCGAACATGTTCGGCTTTATTTGACTTACGTGTATAAATAAGGTGCTATGCCAATTTTTTCAGCAATAAGTTAGAGCAACAAGCTATCAATGTCCCATTTCCTTTCTAATTCCCCTTTGTTGCAGTACTATAGATTCTATTTATCTAATTGTGATTGTTTGAAGAGTTCGCCAATCTGTTTGATTAACACCTGCTTTCTTTATATTTTAAACAAGCCTTTGATGCACGGTACAAAACGTGGAGTTCGGAAATCTGATTATTTTTTCACACCTCTCAGGTGGTCTGTTCTGGCATTTAAAACATTGACGATTTTTTTCCTAGTTTTCAAGTCGTATACAAAAATCTCAAGATCAATGGTGTAGTTTAGACACTGTGTGCTACGAGTGAACAAATCACGCAAAAATAAAAAAATACCGTGAATAGATATAGTGAACAAAGTAAGAGTACTTTCCGCGCTGCTTACTTTTCTGAATAGAACAGTCTACGGTCCTGCCAAACACAGTTGCATGGTCTATTTTGAGTAAGCTACCATTTTGTAGCATATATTTCGTAGTCCAAGAAACATAGAAAGTGGTGTAACAAATTTATGTGACAACGTTCTCGCTGCCCCTTCATTTGCTTTTTCGCACTGATTCACGCGCATGTTTGAAGCAGGAAAAAAAAAACATAGTGACTTACGTCAACAACGAATCGAAGTGGAACTTCTATCTTTTTTTTCTTAAGGTAGACGGCTCCTGACGGTTTCAATATATGTCTCCGTCGAAGTGCCTACATCATTGCAACTCTCTGAGCACGAACCCCCTCACACCTTTGCAATCGCTCCTTAGCTCGTATTTGCGGCTTAGTTTTTTTTGTTGTTGTTCAGTCATTTTTGTCTATGTTAGAGAGGAGGTGAACGAACAAAATTAACATATGTCTGAGCTTTGCTGCTATTACTTATAGCTAAACTAGTTCTAAAGATAAAAGCAAAAACCAAGAAGACACGCTGATTCGCACAGTTTTGTCTGCATAAGACGCTAAGCGAGCCCTTAACCGGATACCTGGCTCACACTCTGCGTGACGTTAAAATGATATTCTGGTTCAATTAGTATTATGTTAGCGTTCCTTCTCCTTGCGTCACCCCCTTTCCCACATTCTTTCCCTTTTCGCTTTCACTACTGTGGACGCTTGGTATAAAAATGGTGGGAGCCGTTGCAACTTCAGCAGTCCTTGGTTTGCCAGTGGTACTACTGCAACAGCCATGGTAAGCCCATTTCGTTCACATTATTCGGCCCGCCGTTGGTTTTAGAGGATTTAGACAGCTTCATTTTAGGGCTCACTTGTAGCCTGCCCAGTATCCTAAGTCGTACTTTTCATTGTCGATTCAACGAGGAAAGCTGCATTTCTGTTTCGATCTTTGAGTGACCAAAAATTATACGTTGCATCGTTACGTCTACTAAGAATGAATGATTTATGGCCTAACGAATTTCCGAAACACTACGAATTCGAATATAATATTATATATTTAAATGATTATGTGACCATCCAACCAATTAATTGCCGCAGTTGATCAGATGATTGATTGATTGATATGTAGGGTTTAACGTCCCAAAACCCCCGTATGATTATGAGAGACGCCGTAGTGGAGGGCTCCGGAAATTTCGACCACCTGGTGTTTTTCAACGTGCACCGAAATCTGACCACACGGGCCTTACAACATTTCCGCCTCCAACAGATATGCAGCCGCCACGGCCGTGTTTCAAACCCGCGACAGTTGATCAGATAAAATCAGACGCTGGATGAGTGGAAAAATCCTCGAAGAAAAGGTCTCTTTGTCGAAAAGTTCACTTTAGCGAGACGCCCTTTTGAAGTATTTTCATCCATACAGTGGCGAAAAAGTTTTAATAGCTGTGATACACAACACCTCGAAAGTTGCAGTAGGTCTAATTATCAAGTGAAAGCGCTTTGAGAAGGCAATGCTGAACCTTCATAGCACCGGATTTCGGCATTTTCTTTTCTACTTTATTATTCTAATTGAGCAAAGCTACTTGTAATTTTTTTCTGACTAAAAGAATACTAGAAAACAAGCATAAAGTGTATAAAGTTTTAATTATCAACAGCAATGTTCAAACACTGCAAATTGTTTTGCGAGAAATTTGCAATTCTGCCAACTTCTTCCACACTCCTACAGGACAACTTCACCAGAATATAGGGGGAAAGGGGTTCCGTGATTAAAAAGGCTACGAATTTCCGCAGCACCAATCTGTTTGGTGCTGCAGAAAAAAATGCTAAAAGATCGATATAGCAGCACCAATCTGTTTGGTGCTGCCCGTAAAAATGCTAAAAGATCGATATAGATCACAGTATAAAATGGCTCTATATTGTAATTCCATACATTTCTGGTAGTTCCGTGTCTGCGTCGTCCTGGCCTTGGCCTCCAGTGCTCTTGCTGGGTTCCTCAACGGTGGTCACAGCCTCGCCGGTAGTGTTGGTCTGAGCAGCTATGGTCTTAGCCACGGACTTGCCTATGGACCAGCCGCCAGCTACTCTGTTTCCTCTCCTGCTGTTTCCGGTGCCATCTCCACTTACCAGGCTGCTCCAGCCGTGACCGCTGTTCAAGCTGCCCCAGCTGTCACCGCTGTTCACGCGGCTCCGTCTGTCGCTACTTATGCCGCGGCCCCAGTCGCCACTGTTGCCGCTGCACCCGCCGTGTCTCGCGTGACCTACCAGTCAGCTCCAGCTGTCACTACCTATGCTGCCCCAGCTGTTTCCCGCGTCACCTACCAGTCAGCTCCAGCTGTCGCTACCTATGCTGCCCCAGCTGTTTCTCGCGTCACATACCAGGCTGCCCCTGCTGTGACTAAGGTTTACCAGTCCGCCCCAGTTGTGGCTGCTGCCCCAGCTGTTTCCACCACCTACCAGGCTGCCCCAGCTGTCGCCACCGTCGCTGCTGCTCCAGCCGTCTCCCGCATCACCACCTACCAGTCGGCTCCAGCGGTCGCTACCTATGCTGCCCCAGCCGTCTCCCGCGTCACCTATCAGGCTGCCCCAGCTGTGTCTACCACCTACCACGCTGCCCCAGCCGTTTCCCGCGTCGCCTACCAGGCTGCCCCAGCTGTCACTACCTACAGTGCTCCAGCTGTCACCAAGGTCTTCCAGTCCGCTCCAGTCGCCGCTGCTTCCCCAGCCGTCACTAGCTACGCTGCTGCTCCAGCTGTGTCCCACGTGACCACTTACCAGTCCGCCCCAGTTGTTTCTGCTGCCCCAGCTGTGGCCACCGTCGCCCACGCTGCCCCAGTCGCCACCGCTGTTGCCGCTCCAGTGGCCACCTACGCTGCTGCTCCAGCTGTAGCTACCATCCATGCCGCCCCAGCTGTTGCCACTTCTACCCTTCACCATGCTCCAGCTGTGGCCACCATTGCCCACGCTTCCCCATCTTTCGCTGCCTACAATGCTGCCCCAGTCTACGGCTACGGTATTGGAAGCCTCGGCTACGGTGCTGGCCACTATGGTCTCGGCCACGGCATTGGTGTCTACGGCCTGAACTATGGCTATGGTCTTGGCACTCCATTCGACTACACCACCCTGCTTCGCAGGAAGAAGTGTAAGTTCAGGGAACTGGATAAAATTATGAGTGTAACAATTATTGGCCCCAAAGCTGCCTTCTTATGTGTATTATTTTCTTTTTTCAGAAATCATCTTCATCTTCAGAGGACATGGCGCATCGAAAGTAAGACGAAGATGGCCGTGAGCTTATGCTCTGCAGTCCACATTGTTAAAAATTATTTCCCAATAAATGGTTCCTGTGATACGATTATTGTTGTGTTAGTGATGTTTATTTCGTTCAAAAAAATGACCTACTAGTACACTGGGGCCTACACTCTAGAAACTTATTGATATTCGGGAAGTTATATTAGCCAAGTAAAACGTGAGTAGAAGATGCTGCCTGATGCAAAATCAGCCACACAAAACATTTTTTCTTGCTGAAGAATAAGAGCTCAATGTTGTGCAATAGCTTTGAAAATCACCGCCGAATTCGTCCGTGTACAAAAAAGTGGCCACTCCACTACAGTTCAGTAGGTTTCTGGATATTGTTGCTTTCTGGGAAATGCGCGAGCCGATAGTAAATCAATACACACTGCATACAGTGACTTCATTGACGTAAAAAAATGTGGCTGATCCCTCTTTGTAGAAATCGGTAAAACCCGAAAGTGAAAAATGTCTTCACATGTGAAGTTGAGTGTTTATAGCGGATTCTTTTGCCACAAGGCTTGAGGAATGAATGCTACAGAACAAATTGCAAAGTCAAACGAAGAACGGTAAGCGGCAGCAGCTCAGAGCTTCCTGGGCGTACCTCATGAAGAAAGCATGCACGAAATGAACATTTACAGTACGAGCGCGAACTATCAGCTGTCATCGCTAGACTCTTCAGAGCGCTGTGTAAGAAAAGTGCACAAAACGAGCACACAAGTACACACAAGGCTAGCACAAACACCTGTCACAATTCTGAATTATTCGTGTGTGAGCAGCGTGCCCCTTTTGTAATTTAAGCCATGTCGTAGAGGCGGTGCCCTTCGAAACAGAAGAGGCGACGACGAGTGGGCGCTACGCGCGCTCGTCGCGTCATTTCGCTACTGATGACGAAAACGTGCTGAATGTACAGAGCTCAGACGACTGCTGAATGGTATATGGTGTATATAAATGACTTGGCGTTAGCGCTTCTGAAGGCATGCTCCCTGTGGCGTAGTGTTTAGTCCGCAAGGTCGCTGGTTCGACGCCCCGCGATAGAGCGTTTGTATATCGTTTTTTTAATGTGTTGAATACACTATACAACATGATATTCGTTGCAGAAATACGTCAGCCGAGCCATGGTGTACCCCGGTTTAAAACACGTTAACATTAAATTGCGGTATTTAAGGAACCAGAAACTCATCGTTCCGATCACTGATGCGCCAAGTGCACCACAACGTGTTGGTTCTAACAAAGTCATTGGAACAAGCGTGTGCGAAAAACATACCTTGATATAACTTCTAGTTTCCCGGCTAAAATCAACGAATGTATTCCTGTGCGATCTCCTCCAGCCGACTCACCTAGGGGTTGCTCTCACTCAGATTTATGCACTCATGAGCTGCCGTTCGGACAGCCTGACAAGTGAACGCTGGCAAGTGCGCGAAACATTAGCCCATATCTTTCACGACTGTCCAGTTTACGTAAGACAATGAAAGACGCCACCTTCAACGCTGTCGGGCATCGGAGTAGAAACAGTTAGTGGAAGTTTCATTTTGACAGCAATGTGCGACCAGACAATGTGAAAAACAGCTGCAAGGACTGTTACAGGTTTTCTCAAGAGTAGGGTTGCCACTGGCTTTCGAGTCAATGTCGTCAAACGACTAGCAGAAAGGAGCTAAAATTCGCCATTTGTATTTCAAGTTACGCCCAAAAGGTCACCACAATGAATTTATGCGGCACACCTAGTAATAAAGATTACAAAATATCTGCACTCCCATGGAATACAGTAGCGTCCGTAACTGTTAAATTACGCTCACATTTCTCAATGGTAGTCAGATTGCCCGCTTCACCAAGAAAGAGCCTGATGCACCCGGTTTTCCATCTGGCTGTCAGATTGGTATGGTGGCGCCAAAGTTACAACCCGTTACCAATGAAGCACTCGTCGTTTTCCTCTGTCGCAGTCCACTCATTTTAAATGTGAAAATGTGTATACCTCGAGTGAAAAGTGCGAAGGCGTTGTTCATAGACAGCTTTACGTCACTATATATCAGTTAGAAAGTTTTTTCAAGGTAACACGACAGAAGTAATAAAGTAACAAATCATTGTGATTCCTATAGATTTTCAATGCGAACTCACATCATACTGGGTGCCAGTCCACTTCTTGCATTCGCGTATATCTAGAGGTGTCAATACGATGCGTAAAAGGCATAAAATAAAGTAATGGGTAGGCAATGCAAAACGTTATATCTCATTTGTTTTTATTGCACACGCTTATCGAGAAGAGTGTAAACTTCTTGAATACACATTTTTTTACTGCACGCATGCTACGTATCCGCCTATTGGTTGGTCATAAATATCTCTTGTAATAATATCCCTACGAACGTGACCTGGGCCCCGATGACCTTCTTGGGTCTCACAGAAGGGAGGCTACTGGTAAATGCTGGAAGTTCTAGGATTGCTCGTCGTCATTAGGCGGAATACTTTCCCGCAGAAAAACGGGGTTTGCCGACGTCTTTTGGTGCATACAAAAGCCACGATTCACCTTTAAAATATACTCCGAAAGGTCCAGCTTCATATTATTGGGAGGTTTCGCGTTATTTAAAGTTATATCAGCAAAGACTTTCTGCGCTTCGGCATTTTAATGTAGGAAGTACCAGGATTCTTACGGCTCCAGTGGCAGGAGCCGAGACAGAGCTTACACGAGCAGCGTCCCTCAATGCCAGCGCTTCATAGCAAAACATTGCGGCTAAATAGGTTTCAATTGTAGCAGATGAAGAGCAAAGCAGCCGCTACAAGAGAGGGATGCCGTGCGCAGCCTTCGCACAGATAAATTAAAGGAATTCATTGCAGTGGAACGATACCTCCAATGCTCGAACCTAATTTTTAATAAAAAGCATAACTTGTTCGAGACTACTGCGTAACTTTTGCAATGCTAGCACCACTGCCGGAAGACCCCCATTGTGTCACTATAGTTTCTCATTTAAACAAAAGACGTATTGAAGAAACCCTCTTCATATTCACAACATCACTGGAATTTTACGCGAGGCCCAGCTACTACCAAAGAAAATTGACTTCTCCAGAATCCATCCGGCAGATGAGTCCTAACAAAATCGGGGTGGTAAAAAATTGATACAAAACAACAAAAACGAAAGAGGTACCAAGTGAACTTAGAGAATGGTGCACCGTATTGCCAATCCTAAAGAACGCGGATTCTGCTCTGCATGCTGGAAGAAGAAAGGCAAGGACCGAACCCACTGATAAAGGGAAAAATTATATGAACACGGGGCGTTCGGCTGACGCCGCGCCTTATCAGAACGATGCAAAAAATCTGTGTTTGTAGTCACAGACCGTAATAGGAAAATTACAGCCTGCGCTTCAATAAATCAAGCCTGGACATGAGAAGCAGAAGAGGTTCCTATAGCACTTGCAATAAAATAGAGATAGATTTGAAATGTTTCATCAACAGTTGTTACAGGTTCAACAACAAGTTGTTACAGGTTCACAACAAGTTGTTACAGGTTCACAAAAAGCTTGTAAAAATTATTTAAAGGGCGAAATCGAAGAACAAGCACCCCGGATATTGGTCGGCACTAGATGGAACATTTTTCATTTCATTTCATTTCATTTTATTTTATTCGGACATTTCCGCAGAAATGCCCACGAAGGGGGCAAAAGGAGAGTGTGTCTCCTGACTTGGCCCCTCTTAAAAGCGAAATACGTCCATCACGCCGTCTGGACGTATTTCACATCAAAGTGAAATACGTCCAGACGGCGAGATGGGCATCGGGCCCAAAGGCCTGACTGGAAACTGGCGTGGGGATGAGGCAGCTCAAGGATTTACCAACAACCAAGTCACCCCAGATACTGCAGTAGAAGACCCTGTTCCCTCTACACTTGCTACGCAACGATCCTTAAATAATATAGGGAGAATAGACAGATCTATCTTCCTACGAAGGTTACAGACAAAAGCTTACATAAATCTGCACGCTCTCCACCTGATCAACAACACGGCGTACAAAGACATCTGTCCGAGGTGTGGAGCCAAATTGACACTCTTTTAGATAACGTGGAAGTGTGCTGAGCACGAATACACAGATGGCATATGGGAGGAATGGGAGGCGCTGCTGTCTAGCTCGACTTTAGAAGATCAGTGACGACTCATCGGAAAAGCTGAACGGATAGCTGGTGCCAGTGGGGTCTTAGAATGGGAGCACCACCCGACTGGACAGACAAAGGTTTCACCTTTCTATTACCTAAGGGGCAATGAGATTCCAAACGATATGGTCTGTGTACAGAATAAAGCTTTTTTACTGCTACTGCTACTACTTAGGTAGAAATATTTATTAGCTTTCTTCGATTAAAGCAGCCTTTTTTTAGTGAGCAGCGTCTTCGGGTCCCCTGCCTTTTTTTGCCGCTTCCACTGGTTTGTTCTGGCAGTGCCCCTTTCTAAGATTACTATTTTGTTACTCAGAGTTGCTCGTCTTCATATAAATGCCCAAATAGTCACTGCTTACTCAACATTTTCATAAAGGTGATGCCTGTGGTGTAACTTGATTGGCGAGGTTGCTTGAACAATAAGCCACCCCTTATTCGCTAGTGTAGTCGTGGTGCCTAGTATGTCAGCAATAATCTACCAGCTATTGAATTTTGCACGCAAATGACAACAAACGACTCTCAAACATATTGAGCCCTAGCGAACAGCGACTTTAGGAAGGCGATGACAGAATGCGCTGACTTTCAACGTAGTCTGACTGATTGACCTAACCGGCGTTTCTGACGCCACACGCAGCTGTTCGTGTCCACCTAGGGACGCTGGAACGTAAATCTGGCCGATTCCTTTGCCACAGAAATTCCGAGCCACCGCAGATGATTGGTAAGAAGTATCTCCATTCCCTTTAGGCGTTTTATAACCTTTCTGAATTTTCCTAAAAAATCCAAAGTGAATCGTTCAATAGCCGAGCTGGCCTCTGTCACTCACTTCTCAAAATGTTTAGGACTCTGATGCCGTTCCAAGCACATTATCAGAGTCTAAATGATTCTCGACTAGAATATGTTGAAAGTTTGCGCGCTGTGTTGTCGACCCCCTTA